AAAATCTTCTTCAATGAGCTCCGTTTTCTTGTCGTCTTCACTGCAGTACCGTACGAGACACATAAGCTGAGCCTTCGCCTCTGTGTCTGTCGATTCATCAAGCTGAAGTAGTGCGAACAGGGGACTCTTCTTTATTTTTTCCAGAAGTTGTTCTTCAATGTCAACGGCGCAGTCATCGATGCGACGTTTCACTGTGTTATCGGACAGCGGGATACATTTCAGAACCTCTGCCTTAGACTGGTCAAACATTATTTCGACCATTTTGCAAGCCGCCGGCAGGACCAGATTCTCGCCGACTGTATGAGGTTTCCTCTGTCTTGCAATCAGCACTGCTACTTCGAAGGACGCCTTCAGGGCCTTGTGGAGGACGGTGAGTCTCTTCTGAAATGTGTTGCGTTGTATGTTGCTCTGCGACAACAGCCGCTGAAAGTACGTAGCAGGTTTGTCGACTAATGCTTGGTGTTTGCTCTCGAGGTGTCGCTTTAGCTTGGCCGGCTTCATGCTCTCGTTTGCCAGCAACTCGTTGCAGACGACGCAGCGAGGACGATCTTGCCCATCGACAAGATCAGCTGTGAAGCCGAACGCGATGAAGTCCTCTTGGTACTTCCTCTGGCGAGTGTTGGTGTACTTGGTGTGGACGGGAGACGGCGGACCGGAGTCTGGGGGGGGGGGATCCTCTCTCTGCTCTGCTTCTACAGACACACATTACAACACGCCAGAGTTTTCGAGTGCACTGATCAGTGACACTCCATTATGCGTACGTGCAGGGCGTTATCTTACCCGCGGGGGTGATGGGCTGGGACTGGACGGGGAGGTCACGATCAGGCAATCCTGGATGGATGGCGGGTCGGGGCGGACAGGCGACGGCGGAGCAGCCGCGGTGCTGGTACACGGACGGCAGCGGCAGGGCCACGTCCCTACTTGTGGCCACAAAATTGTGGCCACAAACCCGGCGGCCAGAGTCAGCTTAATCCGACCCGACTATAGAACACCCCTTTTCGGGTAATATGAAATCCAAAGCCTTCAGGGTGTAACCAGAAGGTAATAACATGCTCTGCACATAGTCCGTAACGAGCCGAAAGGCCCCGGATGCGTAAAAACAAACGCAATGGGGCCCAGGGGGCCCCAAACAGCTTTTGAAAGAATTGCCTACCCTCCAGGCGCTCTCATCCACAACTTGGCCCTCAGCCACAACTCGTCCCAGGGGTACCCACAGGTTACAAGCAAGTCGGGGGCGCACGGCGAGTATGTATGGCGGGCC